GAAAGCCAATTATTAGTCACAAAAACTCACTTAATCTGTATAGAAACTTTCAGTAGTCCAGCACCTTCCTTAGCCTGAAATTTCTATCCTACAAATATAAGCATTTAACCTGCGTAGCTCCTCTTCTGTCTCCCCTTCAAACCTGGGGCGTTAGGAAACAAAGAAATTGGAATGCAGTGAAGACAAAGAAATTCAAATGCACTTGAAACAAAGAAATTCAGATGCACTGGGAACAAAGAAAATGGAATGTGCTGGAAACTAAGAAATTCAAATGCGCCAGAAAGTAAGAAATTCGAATGCGTTTGATATAAAGAAATTCAAATGCGCTTTAAACAAAGAAATTCAAATGCACTAGAAACGAAAAATTCAAATGCGCTGGAAACAAAGAAATTCAAATGCACTGGAAACAAAGAAATTCAGATGCGCTGGAAATACAGAAATTCAAATGCACTGGAAACAAAGAAATTCAAATGCACTGGGAACAAAGAAATTCAAATGCACTGGGAACAAAGAAATTCAAATGCGCTAGAAACAAAGACATTCAAATGCGCTGGATACAAAGAAATGCAAATGAACTGGGAACAAAGAAATTCAAATGCGCTAGAAATAAAGAAATTCAACTGCGCTGGAAAAAAAAAAGAAATTCAAATGCGCAGGAAACAAAGAAATTCAAATGCACCAGAAACAAAGATATTCAAATGCACTATAAACAAAGGAATTCAAATGCACTGGAAACAAAGAAATTCGAGTGATCCCAAAATAATTTCCATTTATTTTGAATTCAGTGTTTAGGAAAATTAGCGATGACGATAGTTAAGGTAAATTAGAAATTTGAGGCCGGCTAATTCACAACCACATTATCAGTTTAAATATTTTGAGTTATTGAGATTTTCACTATTATTTGAATGAAGATAGCCATGAAATTTTTCACTTTCTCACCTCTCATTTTCATGATCTTGCGCCAATGTCCGGCCAGTTAATTCAAATAAAAAGTCGCTGTTTATGTTGTTTTTGTTGTTGTTGTCTAGCACTTCCACGTTGGTGAATGCCACTTACACTTACGGAATAAAAATAATGAATGATAAAACTACTGAATAATAAAACTACGGAATGAAATTTCTTTGTGCGTGAAGCCTAACCAGAAGAAATCACGGCTAGGGTAACCCGGGTGCGGGTGGACGACAGTTATCACGCATTTAATTGGTCGGTGTGCCGCCGGGTCCAGCAGTCGCTCACCCGACGCCGGCAAGTAAGGACGTATCACGTCACCACGTACTCCGGTTCCTCTTGTGTAAATTTTGGGTACAACACTTCAGTTATAAATGGTTTATTAAAATAAATGCAAATTTTATTTATTTCAAACTTTATTTAAATTTAAGTTTTTCCAGCTTGAGGAACTAAACTATGTATAAATTTTGAATAAAAATTACGTTTTGATCAAACTCGAGTTCTTCTTTGTGAACGTGTGCCTTGTTCTTCGTTTTTGTGCCTGTGTTTTGTATTATCGTTTTCGCTTGTTTAATGCGATTCCTGGACACCATTTATAATCGTGATGTTTTCGTTCATATTTTCTTAACTGTCATCATATTCAAGTAAATTGTGAAAAATTGAGTGTTCTTTTACATCAAAAGTGCCTGAAATTTTTTTCCGTTATACTATCCGTGAGGAAATTTCTCATGATGTCCGAGTGTAATAAATTAAGCGAATTTCTACCATAGCAAAGTTAACGCGTCCCACCTAGACGCGCCTGTGTGGACTTTGCCCACTGCCTCGACTGTGTATATTTAGCAGACTAAGTGCGCCGCAATTAAGGCCTCTATAGCGCAGGTAAATAAGAAATATTTTTCCGTGCTGGTGAACAGTAGCTGTGGTGTAAGCTCAGTGCAAAGTTGACTGAGCGGCCGCTACTTTCAGTGCAGTATTGACGTTCAGATATGGCTTTTGGGGCTCATAATGGATTCCATATCAACATTATTTAAGAGTAGATACTTCTGCTTCTGGTTTTCATGAGAAATTTATTTTTAAGCTACGAGGCAATCAATTTCTCTTAGGAAGTGTTATTGTACTGCTATTATTGCCCATTCTGAAGTTATTTACCCATGTTGTTTCTCTGTTGCTTTCAACGCTTTATTAATTTTAGTAGTTATTTTTTAACGCTTCTCTGGCCTTTTAATGCTTTTTTCGTTAATTTCAACTTTTTCCCAATCCAATGTTTGTCCTACGATTTTATTTATTTTTTTACTTTTTCACGCCCCTTGCGTCTCTGATTTCAATCTTTTATTTGCTATTGGTTTTGATCAATACTATAACTCTCCTCTAGAACTACTAGCAGTTCTACTGGTGTAGTACACGTATTTTTATTTCAAATATTTCTTCGGCAGGAAGCATTCCATAACAAAAGAAATTTTTTTATTCAACGAACATTTCTTCTGTACTACTTGAAGCCTAAAAAACTAGGGGTTTTTAGTGAGGTATGTTAGTCAGGGGTCTCAATGAGGTATGTCAGTGAGGGATCTCAATGAGGTATGCCAGTGAGGGATCTCAGTGAGGTATGTCGTTGATGGATCTTAATAAGGCATGTTAGTGAGGGATCTCAGTGAGGTATGTCAGTGAGGGATTTCAATGAGGTATGTCAGAGAGGTATGTCAGTGAGGCGTCTCAGTGAGGGAAGTCAGTGAGTGAGCCCTCTGTTGGCCAGAGCTTGTCACTGATAACGGAACCTCGTTTACTAACACGTAGGCCGTTATTTATTTAGCCATGTACTGTACTTGGATGGGACCTCATCATTAGTGATAAAGCGTGCACTCAGAGAAATGAGTGAGACTTTGTTCAAGTAGCTATGCACTTTCGCCCTCATGTGGGTCATTTAGACCCGTTTTATTCCGAAAAAGTACGTATCAGTGCTACACGCAGCAAGTGTGCCAGTAGTTTTCATTGGATTTTCGGAGCCTATTTACGGAACAAAAATTTTTATAGCCACTTTTTTCAGGCATTTTTTGCAGTGACTCATGGATAATGAACCGACTTGATGCAACTTATTTGTATTATTGTTAAAAAATATAAAAATTTAGACGTCATAAAAAATTATTTTTTCGAGGAGAAACTTTTATGTATGAAAATAATAAGAATTTTACCAAGTTAAATCATAGTTACTTTAGATAAAATCATACTCTTAGCATTTTTATTTTATTATAGCTTCCTGTTTTGATGTATTATTAATATGTTTTGAACATATAATATATAATATATTTGAATATCTAAAATTTATTTAATTTGTTTAATTACATTCATTCATATGCTCGAGTGTCTTGCATAAAAATATCGTTTTCATACAAATATTCTAACTTACCTTTGTTGGCATGGTATAGAGTTAAAACTCTTTATATTGCCCCTTTAAAATATTAAAAATATTCTAAATAATCTAATAACGAATTATCATTTGTAATATTAATAAAATCTACAGGCTAAAGTCCACCAATAAATGCTTAGCACGACAAGAGCTTAACCTTATCACTCTAGATTTTATATATTACTCTTATCAGTCAAGCACTGAACATAATATCACCGCCTATCCGTCCGTATATACACAAAAGCCTATACATTCCATTCCACGCACATAGGTTTGGTTTCTTTTTATACAATCACGCAGTCAATGAAACGACTATCTATAATTTTGATCATCAATAGAACGGTTTTTTGCCCGATTATATTAAATTTTATAAATAATCTAGATAATTAGAGTTTCGATTGATTTCTTAATTATAATACGGTGCTGAGATGTATGCTGAATCTCATAGGTATGTATATGAGATGTATAGAGTATGCTGAATCTCATACTCTATACGTGATATGATAAAAAGACCGGAAAATAACTATTTTTTTCGCACAATGTACAGCAAATTCCCACTCCTGTTTTACATGCACATTTTACGGTTGTATAAATTACTACTGCTTAACATTTAACATGTATTCTGATAAAATTAATTTAAGAAAAAATATAAGGGATCAACTGTTCATAAATTGTTGACGCGTGCTCGACATTCGTTCAAAATTATTTAAAATTGTTATTATGGCATTCTAACTTTGGTGTTTTCAATTTTACTTACGCCACTGTGGCTACTTCAAAATGAAAAAGAAAACATTGACTTTTTACAATGGGTTGCCTATACAATTTTTACCTTTCTCTTAATTGATAAAATACATCGAATTTTGGCTTCGTCATCCTACTTTTTTAACAACCATCATCGGCCAAACAAATGACGATCGTTGGCCGCCTTTTACACGACAATGATTTGTCACGTTGCACTCAGAGAAATGAACGCAACATTGTTCTAACATCGATGCACTTATCGCTCCTGTTTGAGTAATTCTGATCTAGTGTGGACAGACAAGAGGCCAATCAGTGCTACATGCAAAAAGTGTGTTACTATTTGGACAGTATGACCCATTAATTATCTGAGTATGGGATAGGTAAGGCCAATATTTTTTACACTAATAAATGAACGACGCGTGTAAGTATTTTTATGTCCTTACATCGCGGGTCAAGTTTCATGGAACATAACACGAATGTAATGCTCCTATAGCCACTTAAAGTTAAGATAGATTTTAATCGTTTGTTGATATAGACGTATAGTTGGGCCAGCATATACTCGTATATATACTGAATAAAATTAATACTGAAGTGAAGTTTCTGATTCATTTCATTACGCAATACTCAATATGAATACTCAAATTACCGGCGTTTTTTATGTCTCAATTGCCACCATCTAATATCAGAAATGAATTATTAAGTTCTTTGAAAATGATCGCTTAGATATAAGTTTCCTGTTTTCTATTTAAAATTCAGTTTTATTTAAACTCTTACCAAATATGGGATGATTGCTTGATAATTTATCCTTTGCATCATTTTTGTTCAAAATCTACTGATGTTAACTCATTGACTTTTTATATGAGCTTTAATTCCTTAATCCTTGTTTCTTTCAGGACTGTTTCAAAATCAGTTATTTTTTCAAAAATAAATAAATATTTAGAGACAAGAAAATACATTTTTTCGCGAGGTTATAAGACCTGCAATATTACGTTATTACTTTGCAAATAATTAGGGAAAATGTTATCAGACTCAGAAGATATCTATTGTGAAGACGGCACGCCTAGTGAGTATGCATATAAATATAATGAAATGTTATTATAATTATATTGGTATATGTAGCATATAAGTTGATCTGATTTTATGACCTAGTAGTTTTTCATAGTTCGAACACAGCATTCGTCAGTCATCCAATTATTAAATTCTACATTCAGATTAATTCATCCGGCTTCTGAATAATTTAATATCTAAATACCAAAAAAATGTTTAGCTTCGTTTTTTTCCATTTTCAACCTGCAATTCTACATCGTCCTATATTTTTAAAATAAAATCTATGATTTGTTTAATGCCTCAACGGGAATTTAACTTTTATTTTAATCCTAAATTACTTATGAGATGTAATCGAGTTAATTTTAATTATTATTTATCTTATTAATGCTTTGAAAATATTTTTTTCCGCCTGCAGTTCCCGATTGTGAGGACTTCCATCCCCGCCGTGACGACTACTGCGTCGAGGCACTCCTGCAGCACGGAAGTGAGTCACGGCGACTCACTTTTTAGATTTTCGGAGACAGCGAGTCATCTTTGTAAACCAGCGTTATTTTTGAACGCAGCATTAGCTGGTCACGTTAACACTTAATTATTTGGGCAGTTTTCATCAGTATTGTTTATGGTGCAGCATTTGTTTTTTCTGGCGACTTTTTTTCGTACATGGTTTCTAGTCCGGAATATTGCAAACTTACACTATTATTATTATTTGATAACAGAATACTAAGCGGTTGTCAAAATGACTTGAAACTTGTTACAAAAATGCAGGAAGTTTCTTGACATTTAACTTAACTATCCAACCTGCACCTTTAACATCGCCTGCTTTTGTGAACTGTATCGCGTAGGTTCTTAGTTTGCACCTTCTTAAATCACCAGCCTGGCAAGTTCTTAGTTTGCACCTTTGACATCGTCTGCTGTGCGCGCGCACCGTGTAGGTTTTTAGTTTACACCAACTTTGTTGGCTACGCTCATCTTCGATCTTGGCATTGAACGACACTGCAGCGATGGTAGTAAGAAAAAGTGAAATGCAGAGCCTTCCTGTGGCGTATTGCGAAAGGTATTGTTGTGAGACCGTTTTTTTCTGACGAAATTTGATTTTACTTTCTCGGAATTCGTTATTTGTATTACTCTGTGCATTTTTATTATTCTTATTACGCAGCTGCACAAGTAAGCTTTAGACGGAACTTCATTCCAGCTCTAATTTAAAATATTGTTTTTGGTATCAGGTACTAAAACAACATTATATGAATTACATTTCTCCAACTTGCCATTAAATGAAAGAAAAGTTAAAGAAAAACATTATGATTTCAATCGTATAGACAAAAATTTTCGACCAAGTTTGTAACTTTGACTGACTATAATTTAAACTCTTGACTGATGACGATAACTCTCGTTACCAGTAACTTCAAGTTCGAATACCACAATCGAAAATGACCGACGCATTTTGCATTAACAGTATGGTATACATTAATGCATACAGTTTATGTTCATTAATGCATACTGGTCATGTTCATTATTGCATACTGTTCATACTGTTATAAATGTTACGGATGAACTTCATAATGCATACTATTCATACTGTTATATACGTGACGGATGAACTTCAAGTATAGTACAACGGACCCATTAAAAACCAGTAGGTCTGTAAACCACGACTTGCGCAATATTTGGCATCAAGACGTGACTGAGGAACGGACTTTGCCCCAGCACCTGCTGCTGCATACACTTGCGTTCTCGGGGCCCCGGACCCGCTGCCAAGCGCTGCCGTGGACCTTGCACTCTAGCGACACGGGCGTTGCGAAGGCGTGGCACTCTACGTCAGTGCACATCTAATAATATCTCATTCCGCTGTCGCGAGTTGAGTTAAAATTATTGAAAATAAAAGAGTGTTCTCGAAAAATATCTCATTCCGCTGTCCCGAGTTGAGTTAAAATGATTAAAAATAAAAGAGTGTTCTCGAATAATATCTCATTCCGCTGTCGCGAGTTGAGTTAATTAAAAATAAATGAGTGTTCTTGAATAATATCTCATTCCGCTGTCGCGAGTTGAGTTAAGACGATTAAAAATGAAAGTGTTCACGGAAATCTATTGATTAATGATGTTTGAAATTAAGTTGAGTTGAAATAATCAAACAGTTTAATTTGAAAACATCTCTCGGAGAGTTAACGTGATTAAAAATAAAAAAAAAAAAGTTCTCAAAAATCTATTGATTAATCATGGTTTGAGTTAAGTTGAGTTGAGATAATCCAACCGGTAAATTTAAAAGCATATCTCGCAACTTGACATGGGTGTATTGTCTAAATGGTAATACACTTTTTTACCTACAGCGTTAGCAGATATAGGGGGTAGCGCTGATGCGGCCAAACTGGGTAATTTGCCCCGCAAAATGAGTTACGTTAAAGTTCAAAGCCATTTAGACAAAGCCCCCCTCATTACTCTGAGTGCAATGGAAACTATCAATAATACATCTTAGCAATAACTTTTTATATACTTGAATTACTTTTCCTAATTCTAATCCTAAGTTGGTACAAGCGAGACACGATCTTCGTAATGCTAACACGCTTCAGTAAAACAGTATTAAAGTTTCAATGTGGTTAAAGTGGTTAACCCTCTTAAATTACCTGACCTGCCAAAATTAGAGCATTTACGAAGCCACAACAAAACTAAATTCAACGCGCGAACCTATATTGTTCAGGTGACAATATTTCAGTATGGGCTAAAAATTAGGGATATTCTTCGTTTTCTTCTAAGTTCTTTTTAAAAAACGTTTTACTGCTATAACTCATAATAAAGAGTTTCCTAATATAGCCACATGTTTACACAAATAGAACACTTTCCTGCATGTGTTAAAAATTTGTCTCATTCATCCATGAAGAATATGAATAAATTAACGAGCAAATGGGTCTCTTGCTTAAATAATATGATACGTTTTCGGGTATGACGCCGCTTTATATATCCTATTATAAGCAAATAAGTTCGCATTATCTTTAACAATCGCCATTCACTGTTAAATAAAAAGTTAAATTAACGACATTGTCCTCTTATAATACCAGATTTTTTATAATTTTGTCAGTGATTCATGTGTTTATTATATTTTTAATGATATAGATAACCGCTAGGTAAATTATATTCAAGGTTATCTAGGTTATCTAAGGATATCGTTATGTTGGCAGGACTTAGTCGTGTGGTGGTGAGCCGGCGTCGTGGTGATGGTGAGCAGCTGTTCACCGTCAAAGTAGCGTCCAAATTCTATGGCAACAAACGCATCGACTGCTCCAGGTGTGCATACGATTACCTTTTAAATATGTTATTGTATTTACTTATGATTACCTATGTAATAGGAATGATTATATATCGTAACTAATGTAACAGATTAAACCTTTAATGAACTTTTTTCATTTGTTAAATAATTTATAAAATAATTTATATCATGTAATATATCATAATAAAATTATTTATTATCAAATTAATCATAAGCAATTATTAAAATACTTAGAAAATTAACTAACTTCAATTATTCTCTTATTCACATTTACTGTAATACTGCTGGGAAAATCAATTGTCTGACCGATTTTTTCAATATAAAAAAATAGTCGTTATAATCTCTAATTATTTCTACATTAGAACCGAATTTGCTCTTTTTTCTAATTATTTAGATGAAATTTTCAATAGATTTATTAAAAAATTAAATACATCACGTATTTAATATAACTTGCAGAGAACTGGAAGCGTTGAATTTGGTGCAGGGCTGCAACTTTCTATTGAACCTGCGGGACTTTTTTGAGACCAACTTGTTCTACTACATCGTTACAGGTAAACGCTATTGCATCTTATAAATTACGTGAGTAATATATAACAATATTGTACACGTTCAAACCATTGAATAATATATACGAATATAGAGCACGTTTGATACATAGATAAAAAATAGTGAACACGTTCAAAACCTTGAATTATATAAAAAGCCCATCGAACAATTTATTTCAATACCTTTAATGATATATAAGATTATTGTACCTGTTCGTCACCTTAATTCATATGTGAGAATATTTTACAAGCCAACTACTGCCCGTATGAAAACTTTACTGTTTAACTTTCCTACTTTCAGCAGACTACTGCCCGTATGAAGACTTCACTGTATGACTTTCCTACTTTTTGCAGATTACTACCCGTATGAAGACTTTACTGTATTATTTTCCTACTTTTTGCAGATTACTACCCTATGTAGACTTTACTGTGTTACTTTTCCTACTTTTTGCAGATTACTACCCGTATGAAGACTTTACTGTATTATTTTCCTACTTTTTGCAGATTACTACCCCTGTCTCTTATACACATCNATGAAGACTTTACTGTATTTCTTTTCCTACTTTCTGCAGACTACTACCCTGGTTTCTCCTTGCAACGCTTAGTAGAAAGCCACGCCCCTCTCTTACTACCTGAGCATCTCGTCAAGTTCTACGCTGCAGAACTGCTGCTGGCGGTTGATACCCTGCACAAGGTGAGGTGAACCTTCACTCAGAGAAATGGGTGAGACTTTGTCCAAAAGCGATGCCGATACGCTTTTTGTCTTTGCGGTGTTCACACTCACCCAGTCTGGCCTGGTAAATGGGCGTGTCAGTGCAACGTTAGCTCTACTCTGCTTGTGCTGAGGGCTAGAATATGTGGCACTGTTTGATAAAATGTCCCATTCATTACGGGTGAAATCATGGGTTAGCCACATGGCCATTCAACCCTTTTTTCAATCCCGTAACTCTTCTACCCTCGCTTACCCTCGTTGCCCTTAAACATCTTTTCACCCTGGTCGGCTTTCAACCTTTTATCTCCCTGGTCGATTTTCAATTTATTTTTGCCCTCGTCACCCCTCAGAAGGGCGGCATCCATCGGGACGTGAAGCCCAACAACGTGGTGCTGGACGAAGAGGGACACGTGGTCCTCCTCGACTACGGTATGGTCGTCTTCCCCAAAAGGGATGGCCACGAAAAGACCCTCATCCGAGGGACAAGTCACTTCATTCCCCCAGAGGTGTTCGACAGACAACCTTTTGACCATGTAAGTACCGTTCATATCATATCAAATCATATCATATCATATCATATCATATCATAGTGATGTCGGCGCTGATGAATAGGCCTGCGATGGGGTCTGTCGGCGATTCTTGTACTTTTCGTGACTTATCCACAGGAGATCTAAAAATAAGTCATTCGACAGAATCTTTTCCAAGCTGACGATAGTTTGAAATGGCTACTAGACTTCCACCGGGTTAGATATGGTGCTAGGCATTTCAAGTCTAAAACATATATTTTTCCATCGCTTTATCTAGTCTGTTATCTTGATAACTCGGTTCACTCGATTCTAAAATCCGAAATAATTCTTTCGAATATTAAATCGAATTCTAATACTATTTTTCTATTGTTTGTGGTGCAGACAGCGGACTGGTGGTCGTACGCCCTAACCTGTTATTATCTTGCCACCGGGAAACGCGCCTTTGCCCCGCACTCCACAGACATCAGCGTCATAAGTCGGTGAGGCTAAAGCGTTCGGCTAATTTAAAAGGGCTTAGATTGTTCATAGATGAAAAAAATTACGCTTTTCATTCACTGGTTACTACAGTCTAGGCATTGAACCTCAAGTTCGAGGTTCTTGGGTAATGGGTAATATAAAAATAGTAAATGTAAAAATTCGAAACAATGTCACGTCGTGGTAACATTCAGGGTGTCGTTCACGTTTGAATTTTAATCTGGTGTTCCTTTTTAAAGCGAACTATTTTTAATGAGAGTAATTACCACAATTACTAACAATAAATCTAAACTTCACAAGCATGTAGCTTGCAGCCCCACACACGTGAAGGAATTATATTTATTAGAAAATTTCTAGATAATGGATACGGATAACAATGATATGTCTGAGGATAACAATTTCTAGCATAAATGTTTGGGGTTCTTAGGCAATCAATGAATTCGTAAACAATTTGTTTCTCCTTTATCATGTTTGGCTAAGAAATCTATGTTGCAATTTTCGAATATTTGGTAATCTTTGATAAAGATTACCAAATATTTAGTAAATTGATGAGTACCAAAAAAATATTTCATAATCCTCCTTCTACTCTCAGAGCCGTGCTGCAATTTGTATTTCACTTATAATTTTTACTATCTTAATCATATTCAATCAATATTTATTTTGCAATATCTCGCACCTACAGAGCCGTACGGACGCAGGAGCCTGATTTACACGGCGCATCCGGCGATTTCCTGCAGCTACTGACGGCTCTCCTACACAAAGATCCGCATCAGCGTCTGGGAAGATATGGCGCTGAACAGATTCAGGCTCACTCTTATTTCGCGGTAAGCACATATACATATGCATGCTTTTTAGCTCAATTATGAAACATAATCGACTTTGTCCATGGGATGTTTAGTCTCTTATTTCGTTTACTCTTATTTTTTATTTGTTTGTTTTCTCTTATTTCGCGGGAAGAAAAAACAGATGCATGCTTATTTTGTTCAATTATGAAACATAATCAACTTTGTCTATGGGATGTTTAGTACACTCTTATTTCGCGGTAAGCAAAAACATATGCATACTTTTTTGCTCAATTATGTAACATGATCGACTCAAATGAACTTTGTTCATGTGAGATTTAGTATATGTAATTAATCGATATTAGTTGCGTTTGAAGTTTTAAAAGCTGGAACTTTCTTGCTACGGATTGATATTCTCCTATTTTTCTTTCGTGGCCCATTCTGAAATAAAATTATACGCGACTTACCAAGAGTGCCCATTTCTGAACATTTAACAAAAATAGCCTTAATTTGATGTTTGGTAAATTATGAAATCCTTTCTTAATTCCTTTTCGCTCATGCGACTTTTTTTTTATTGCATTCGCGGTTTTATAATTCGTATGTAAAAATTAATTTCCCATGATACTGCTCAAGCCAATTATATTTTCACCATTTATTAGAACGGTCTTGTCGATCAATTTCACACCATCAATGATATTGTATTGTTGTGTTACCGGACGTCGCAGCAACTTTTATATGTTGTCAAACGGCCACGAGCTATACAGCCAAAAGCCGGTAACTATCTTGTCGAAAACAACGATGTGAATAAGGTTTAAATCGCTGGTTATTTATTGCACTTGAATGTTCATCAAAACTTCAGTTCAGGTGGATAAAACGTAACTTTTATTTCAGTAAAGAACACTTTAAAAGCAACACGTGTATAACAGGAGAACTCAGAGCATAACAGGCATTGATTGCTTGATAAAGCTTTCACAGCACAGTCACAAGAACTAGCGTTGGGGCAAAAGATCGCTGAGAGTTGGTGGAACGAAACAACGAAGTAAGATTAGGTGGAAACTCACTATATGGTTGGCAGGACACGACTGACTAATCGACTCACAGCCACTCAAACTTAGCCTCTCATGACGTCACTACTGCGGTTGGTCGGCCTGGAATGTTACCGACGCGACTACACCAGACGCAGCTGTACAATTATACGCTCGGCACATAGTAAAACTTGAAGATGCATATGAAATGAACATGGCTGACAGTGAACCACTTCCATCGTTCACAAATTTTTAGCATATATTAAATTAATTTAATTTTTCAGGACGTGGACTGGACCAAGATGGCAGAAAAAGCTTGTACTCCGCCCCTGTCTCCGGCAGAGCACTACGGAGCTGAGTACGTCAGGCTGCCGCCCCTAGAGGACGACTGAGTGAACAAGAGTCTTAAGCACAAAAATTATGTCAAGATGGTTTATGACCAATATTAGGACCAAAATGTTAGGGACAAAATTTTGGAAAAACGAAGTAAAGGACAACAATTTTAAGGACAGAAAATTCAGTGACAAAATACTTTAGGGACGAAATTTTGCCGATAAAACTTAGAGATAAAAGTTGGGACAAAACTTAGAAAAAAAAAGCAGTATGGACACAAAACTTCGATGATAGAAATTAGGCTGCACTCGTTTGTTGATAGAAGAGCTGCTTAACTTATATTGTCAGGTTATTCCATGTAAATATTAAAATATATAATATAAAACTTTAGAGCGATACATCTTCAGAATGTGTGTCGTATAGTGTTTATAGGGCATTCCTTATTGATAATAAATAACGGCGAAGTCAAGGCTAAATCAAACACCCATCCAGAAGCTTAGAAAAATCTCTCACGGTCAACAGATTCATAGCTAATTCTTGCTAATATTGTTTATGATTTCGGACATTATTTCTCTGTGATGCCTGGGTGCTGGAAATTATTTAATGTAATTTATTTAACATTACTTGAATAGACTCAACCTCTATCAATGATTTCTTTCGCTTGTGATCAGTTCATTGGCTCTATTCTAAAATATTGTATCACCTCGAGATTTTAGATTATTCAATCTTTTTAATTTAGTTTTTTATACAGTTGGAATATGCGGTTAAAACCAATAATAATTCGCATAGCTTTTCGCACTTAGAATTGATGCATTTGAGGTTGGCCATTAGAATACATAAGAATATTCTATGACTTCCCTAACATTTCATAGCCAAATAGCAAAATTTTCTGAACTATATCGAGACCGACTGAGAGTTTTTGTGTTAATGATAAGGACTAATCGTCCAAACGCTTAATAAGTTAGTCATTTCTGTGCAAGTCAAAGAAGTCCATATAGAGTCATGATGACGGCATGCACTAAGAAAAATGAAGGACTCATTTTCTCCAAATAGTGACACACTTTCTATACTCAGCACTGATGATGCCACTCTGCAGGGCAAAAGTGAGTTACAATGGCCCGAACAAAGGCAAGCAGTGCTTCGCTAATAGGACAAAGTCGTTCTATTTTTTTTAAGTGCATGCATGTTAATCAACGATTGCTCATCTCGATGAATGTAAGACGCCAGTCTTTTCGCATGTAAGTTGAGTATTTGTAGACTTAATAATTGATAGTTTGTAACGGTTATAGACTTATTGTCGTTGCCGGCGATAGGATTCTCTGTAATATCTTAGTTTTAAGATATAGAACAACGTTCCGATCAACTATGTTCATAAATCACATGCTTCATAGTTAGCAATTTTTTTAAGACCTATATATAGGGCATCTTAAATAGACTCTATGGTTTTTTTATAATAAGGAAACCAGTGAATATTCCGAGGGAAGGGTCGTATATCTGTGAACAATCACTCATAAAAATCGATGTTACATATTGTCCAAATAGTGACACTGATACGCCAATTTACAGCGCTAAACTGGGTCAGGATGACCGGCACAACAGCGGAAAATTCATCATTTGGATGTCTTGCACATTTTTCTGAGTGATTTCTTTTCATCCGCAGTTTCTTTAATTCCACATTAAAATTTTTGTTCTAATGCGGAATAGAAAGTTAGATCTGATGAGCTTAGATCATATTTTTATGATCTTCGATGATATATATCTGCAAATATTTATTAGCCAGCATCAATAATCAACATTTGTGATACTAGTGTTCTAGTATGATACGCGCACGGTGCTAGTCTGTGGATCACACGTGAATTAAAGGCATTATAAATGGGCTTTGAGTTATAATTATTGATGGCACAGTAGAATGCAGCGTATACCTGTGATGTGAAATGGCAGAAAATGGCAGAAAACTTTTAAATCAATTATCTCTTCAATAATATCGAATAAGTTTCCAATAAGAATATAACTTAGATGTCAGAATTTCATCGAAGGATGCTAGTCTCTCTCATTCACTCCATTCATTATCAGGAAATCCTAAAACATATTTTTTTCGTTTCTGAATTCGAAGTCTAAAAAATTTCGCCGCAGCTTATCAGTTAGCAACATTCCTTTGTATACTCAGTGAAATGAGTGAAATATTGTTCATATATTGGTGCACTTTTTGGCCTGGTATTGATAATCCTGACGCAGTTTTGTCCGAAAAAAGTATGTATAAGTGCAACGTCCGCTCTCTGTTCGTACCAAGGGTTATGAAAGCGTCTCACTATTTTTGGGCAATATGATGCATTTATTTTTCTGAATGATAGGTTCAATCTTTGGCCAGTTATTTCCTCCAGTTCATGTCTTAGAATTCAAAGCGATTGTGATATTTTGAAAGGAATGCTCAATGTTGTTATGCAGGACTTGAATATATTTTGGGCATTATCAATGTTCCTGTTTCATGTAAGTTTAATGTGAAATAAAATTAATAATGTTTTGAAGCTATGTTTGTGATTGTCCTAAAAAATCCTTTGTTACATTGGACGCATTTGCTTTTTTATAAAGTGTATGGAAGTATCATAAAGAAATTAAAACGTAGAAACGCATACTAGTTGGAGAAATAAATACTTTTTATAAACTTACCAAACTTGTTCGGAAAAACATCATTCGCTTATATTTATAATAAGTCAAGCGTAGCCTTTGGTGTAACTGTAACTTATGATAATTATGATAATTGGAGTCTGTTTGACTAGGCGATTATCAAATAGGTCTCGGACAAATTTACGGCCGGTCTCACGGCCAATCTCCAAATTCAGTGACCAAGGAATATCTCCCAAACTAATGTACTCAGCTCGATGAAACTTGGTACACGTATTCATCAGGACCTAAACGGTGATGTTTAGCTCGTGAATTTTTTTCCCATTTTACCTTCATTTGTGAGTAATAGAGCAATTCGGGCTGATATATGCATTTACCCAGAAATTTCTTTTGAACTACCAAACATATTTCAATGGAACTTTGAATATACATTCCTAACCTTCCAACGGTGATGGTGAGCTCATTACATTTTTTTCCGTTTTACCTTCGTTGTCGAGTTTTTTCCATTTCACCTCCATTCGTGAGTTATATGTAGAGCTATTCGGGCTGAAATTTACAGTAACCCAGAAATTTCTTCTACATAAACTACTGAACAGATTAGTTAAAGTTTAGGTCGTTTATATAATATGTATAAAATCTTAATAACATTTGTACAGACAACAATGAACATTTCACTTGCGTTTTTTTATGTTGATGTTACCCGGTAGCAGTACCCAATTCAAGGTCACAATTTTGGTTCATCAAGAACCTCTGCCAAGCAACAGCCAGAAGCCGGACATGTCCTACCGCGGCGATTGGTAATTGGTGTACATGTTCACTGCCAGACGCCACTCGCCAGTGTCTGACTGTCAAAGTGTGCCAGACGTCCGAGCAGTAAGGTCGTACACTTGTAGCTCTTTAATACACGCATCAAATCTGTATTGTCAAGTAAGTATAGCAGCGATATTGTTGTGTACTGATTGATGTAGATTTACAATTGATGCATATTTGTGACGATCAAAGTGACAGTGCGTGTGTTATAGCAGATCTAGTGGTTGAAATCCAAGGTTAAACCCTCCACCTAACCGGGCTAATGAGTTGTCTGTACCTGATGACTTCTAAAGTTCTTATCTGTTTTATACTCATCGACCTTGCACTTAGCTGTAAGGTCTGCAGGTGTTGAAGGCAATGAATAAATGAAATCGTTGATCCCAATGAATTTAATGGAAGAAGCCTTCAGATTCCTGATATGAAATTAACAGTTCAACGTAAACAATCATTTAAATATATATGTACCTACCTACCTGTCAGAGCTGCCGAGCATTTGGCATTAATAATGAAATAAAATTTATAGTTATTTGACCAATAATGCCTTTTGTAGTTGCAGCCATGAAGTGAACATTGACCTTGAAACCTCGTAAGCCATCATTTATATTCATGTTTGCAGAATTTCTGTCCCTTCCTATAGCGGCCGGTGCAGTTTCTGTAAATCCTTTTTTCTTTAATGCACAAAAGATTCAACTAATCTGCAATGTCCTCCTACGCTCAGACGTAGGCTAACGTCCAGGTGGACTTAGGAATATATGATATATGTACATATATACTTATTAAACTGGATTCAAAAACATGTATATTTTCCTTTTCTAACTTGGTCTATTTTTTCAAACAGGGATTAATATTTGGTTAATAATTTCGAACCTTCTCTATCAACCTTGAACAAGTGAACCCTATAGGTTCACTTCTTACCTATATAGAGTTCTACCCAGCTCAAAACGTTAGCGTCACTAAAGTCGCCAGCTTTTAATGGAAACAATCTATTTAAAGCAGAACTGAACCAGCATCTTTCTAGCGAATTGGAAACAGCTTTGTCGTTATTATATAATAATCGGACCCTATAAATTGCAGTTCTGACCTCTTCTGCAATGTTTTTATTGACAGTACGGTTAATTGATGACAATACAAAACAATTAAACAGATCTAATCAAGTTTTTGACTTTCATATCAATGATTACACTTGGTGCCCTATAATTTGTCGAAAGTTTCAGCTTATAATGTCGGTTTATTGCGGGTGTCTTATTAGCCTTTCTTATAAAATTGTCCCGTTATTATTAGTGAATTCGTTCAAGTATCAATAAATTATTCAAATCTTAACCTAATCTGATATTTCAAATTAGTCGAATTATTATCCGATTAATTACAGAGTCCGCTGGAAATTGTGTTCGTCAAGACGTAACAAAGATGTAGTAAAGTCTATGAGTCAATTTGCTACGTAATATTTCGGTATTCAAATTTAATTTAGCTTCGGTACGTATATTTCTCATAGTGAGAAATATAAGATTATTTTAAGATAAATTTTCTAATTGAAGCATATAAAATATTGATTAATTCACGTATAAAATGTAAATAATATTTGTACAGACAAAAATGAACATTTTACTCATGTTTTTGCACGGTGATCTGCGTAACCGGGTATCAGTACCCAATCCAAGGTCACAATTTTGGCTCATCATGAGCCTCTGCCAAGCAACAGCAAGTGTGTTATGGGATATTCATATTCATGTTTTAGTTAGATGAATATCGGTTGTGGTTAAAGTTGCCCATGCAGATAACGAAATTGCTGATAATATAGGAATAAGTTAGCTGCATGAGAAACGCACTATCGCTTCAGATACGTCTCGGACAAAAACGCGGCCTCTCTCACGGCCGGTCTCGCGGCCGTGATTCCAAATTCAGTGAGCGTGGAATATCTCGCGAAATACTGAAAGCGAGATATTCCACGCTCACTGAATTTGGAATCACGGCCGCGAGACCGGCCGTGAGAGAGGCCGCGTTTTTGTCCGAGACGTCTTCAGATGAGATTGTCGGTATCTTCGCTGTGATAGATCGACGCGGGTTGAATGAAAACACCTTATATTAAACCATTCTGGTTTAAATGAACTTGATGAAATTAGAAATTCATTGTTATCAATAAATTTTACATATGCCAGTTTTTAAACGGTTTTCCAAGCCTCGTCGCGTATGTTCCTCACTCAGACCATTTACACATTTGTTGTATTGAACGAAACGTAGAATCAGAGAAATTTGAGAATTTGTACAAATAGCGATGCACCTTTTGCTCTTTTGTGGTTCATCAGAACCTAGTCTGGCCAATAACTATTTTCACTATTTTGACGAAATAGCCACATCATTTTTCTGATTGCATGGATAAATATTAAAGTAAAAATCGTATTTCTGTTATTTCTAGCTTATCGTCGAATATTTAATACTAGGTTAGTTCGGAAAGTTTCTTGCTTGTATTTTCGCACATAGACGATGTTATTGTGTAGATTCAGAGAATTGCACTGTCCAAATATGGACATACTTTCTGCACGTAGCACTGATACGCCCTTAATTGTGCTGTTTCAACCTGGATAAGAACGATCCGTACATGAGCAAGAATTACACCGCTATTCGGACAAAGTCTTTCTTACTTCTCTGAGTGTGCAGTTGTTAGTGCCCTAATGCCCAACGTTTCTGCAACGTTCCGTTGCACAATTTTTTCATTGTTAGCGGTACGGTAAAGTTTATGATGTTTTTCATGACTGAGTATCAATTCTGTGAAAAATTTTTATGTAACAAAATCGCCCATGAATTAAAAAATTACTCCTCTATTTATGTTCGTAGTTTCATCAGTTTCACTCACATCTACAAGAAGCCTAACTATTTAATAATTGAAAACAGAGAAATAGGCTTGACTTTGTCCTAATTGCGACGAACTTTTTGCCCTTATTATAATTGCATGGGTCACTCTGACCCAAGTGGAGCATGAAGCTAGTCCGTTCCCTGCTCGTCCTGTTGGCAAGCAAGTGTGTCAGTATTTGAACAATATTACACATTAATTTCTTGAATATGCAGTGAATTTCATACCGTTTTTCTAGCCTGCATATATATATGCATTTTTTGCAATCGAAAACCCACTTTTAAAATTTTCATCC